TTGTACTCCCCGTGATGCTGCACCTTCTGAGATGTTATAATGCATTTTCTTCCTTGTGAGAAAGAACCAGAGAAGGACACAGCCCACTAGTTTCCCCAGCTTGAGTTGGCCCAGCACGGGAAGTCGTCTTATTGATTGTGACCTGGCAAGCACCGTCACCCATCTGCTTTCACATTGCACCACTTGCCTGATGCCTATCTGAGAAGAGTGCCAGGCAGCACCCCCATTTTCTGCCTTAAGTGAGCCCAGAAAGTCCTGGGCACTCAGTTCCTCTCCCCAAGATGACCAGGCCATTAGGTGCTGGCTTCTGTCAGTAATGCTCAGGGACTCAGGGATAGGCAGGAAAATGGACAAGGAAACCAAGTTGTATTCCCATGCTGGCTATTGAGAGATGGGCCTGGTAAGGTCAAGGCCAGGACACAGCTGTCCTTTCCACTTCTCCAGGGGATCCTCCACCTAGAAGCCTTCCTATTACCTGGCACTAAATCTAGCTCTCTTACACATGTGGGAGGGCCCCAGTCACTCATGGCTCAGGCAGGCAGTGACAGGTGGGCTGGACAGAAGAAAGGACATAACAATGAAGAGCAAGAGTCAGGGAGACTGGAGAGAGCCCTGGGAGTGCCATGAAGAGAGGGTCCCACATCCCAGAGACATTCTGATTTGCGGAACCCATGTTTTTCTGGGGCGGGGACACGCCAGCGTCTTCTCTGGGAAATTTCACGTAAGTCACCGCAGCCCTATGCCCGTATGATGAGCCCACTTCAGAGATGAGGACCCTGATCCTTAGAAGGACACAGTGTCACTCTTGCACTGGGCTCTAGGCTAAGCCCCAGGGCAAGGGTGGACTTTAGGGCCCAGTCAGGAGGGTGAGGGAAATTAACCTCCATGCAGTCAGGGCCTGAGTAGTGAGAGGAGGTGATATGGAGGCATGGGCTTGGGCCACTAGGGAAGGAATGGCATGGGTGTGAGAGCTTGGAAGGGAGAGAGAGAGTCCGGATGCCAGGCTAGGGAGCTGCGGCACTGCTGGGAGTTCACAGCTGTGTCTCCAGGATCTGGTCAGGGCAGGAGCTCAGTAATTTGGGGTGGAGGAAGGGGAAAATGAGGGAGGAAAACAAGGATCGGGGAGGGGAAGGGAAAGGAGGGGGAAGGAATGAGACTAAGAGGGGATAGAAGGGAGAACGGAGGAGGGAGGAATATGGGAAAGCATAACTTGGTACGAAGTAAGAAGTCACTAAAAGTTTTTGGGAGAGAAACAAATAGTCACAGCCTGAGAAGGGTTGGACTGGAGAGAAACTAGAAGAAAGAAAATTAATAGGAGAGAGAGAGAAGGAGAGAGGCAGAGAGCAGTTATAATGCCAACTGTGACATATTTGTTACATGGCCTGTAGGGTTCTCCTAAAATTGACTATTGGTATGGAAAAATTGTGTTGCTGCATTCCCATCTCACCTTTTCTTACCAGTCAAGTGTTCTAGGCTGGAAGAGTGAGTGACCTTGAGGACACAGGGCACCTGGCTTCACACAGCAATGTCAGACCACTCTGAGGTCTCCTTCTTCTGCTAGGGTCCAGGCTACAAGAACTTACCAGGAGTTCCTGCCCAGGGCAGTGCCCCAAACAGTAAACACCAGCTGAATGAGTGAAAGAATCCGTGAGAAAGTGAATGAATAAATGAATGTATGAATGACTGAACGAATGAACAAACTGACAGCCATCTCTCTTACCCCCAAGCCCAGAGGCCAAGGGCCAAGGCCAGCACGCAGTGGAAGAGCAGCAGCCCCTCCTAGGCCCAGCTGCCCGTTGGGCTGGAATCATGCAGCCCCGGAGGTGTTTCCAGCTGCTTCCAGCAACCACCTCTTCCCAGAATCCAGACGCCAGCAAGCAGCCCTTGCCTCTCACCAGTTGTTGCTAGCCACAGGCTCCTCCTGGCCTGAAAGAGAGGATGCCAGGTGATATTTACAAACATACCTTATTTGCCAAGACAAGTAAAATTATGCAGCAATTTTTTTCTAGAAGATGAAGAAGGAAAGTTTGAGCTAGATTTAAGAAAAGGGCTACTTACAAAGACCAAATATAACTTTGCCCTTGCATAGACATCAAAGGCGTATCATAGCTCTGGGCATCTCGAGGTCCCTGGTGGGTCCTGCCCACTAGCTCCACTATCCCTCAGCTTGCAGCTCAGGTATGCCAAACAGGACCAACCCTCAACTGCCCCTAATAAGTCCTCCGTGGCTGGGGAAGGACAATTCCCTTTTGACCTTTGGGAGACACACCCCAATGAGGAATGCAGCGGCCAGTGATAGCTTGGAAAACCAAGTAAAGCTCAAGAACTTTGAAAAAAAGCAAAAATGACTACTTCTCAGTGAGCTGACCCCACAGCCTCGCTTTCTTGCCACAGGCTTTTCTTCTGAAATACTCGCCCCCACCCCACCCTACCCCCACCCCTTTTTAAAAGCAGCTCTTTGTAAGCATCAAGAGCAATGCCCATTGTGCTACTGAGGCTAATGGTTTAATAAAACATATACCACACAAAATTACTGTCTTAAAAAGTAAAATAAATGTCAGCAATGGTTTGTTCTCCCATTTTACCAGGGAGGGAATAGAGGCCTTGCTCTTCATGTGGACAAGGGTCACCTTGAAATAAAAGACAAGCCTAAGTAACCCTCGCTAGTCTGTGCTTTAGACCTGCAGACAACTGGCATCCATTTTGTTTGTAAGGAAGACTGCCTAAGCTCATCATTTGCAGGTCACTCCTGTGCTGGAGCTGCTGCAGCACAGAAAGACCCCGCCACCAAGGTTGTCAAGGAACTTAAGGGTATGCAATAGAATATTAAGGAAAAGAAGCAGGAGATGACAAAATGCAGGGTGAGATGAGCTGTTTAAAAAAATATTGCATGTGTTTACTTATTTCACATTGTATGTACACCTCAGAGGGAAAAGAGGTGAGAAGGAGATACACCAAAATGTGGGGCTGGCCTGTTACAGGCACATTTACTTTTTTCCTTTTACTTTTTTGTATTTTAAAATTTGTCTACAATGAATACATGAAAGCTTTATAAACTAACAAAGTTATCTTTTGAAAGTAGTCTGCCTTCCAACTCAGCACGCTGGCATCTAGATGTGTCCTGCAGCAGGTCAAGTTTGGGGCCCTGGAACCAGAGAGCCTGGTCCCAAATCCACCAGTCCACTCTGGGTTCTGAAATCTTTAGCAAACCACTTTATTAACTTTTAAGAACTGTTGTCATTTCATTCAGCATTTTCCAGATGCAGAGGACTATGCCCAACAGTCCACATGATCACTTCATCATGCATGTGATAATTAGTTTATGTATGCAATACCAATTAGGGTTGTCAAAGTATGAATACAATAATGTATTTATAAGCACTGTGCCTTTTATTACTTGTTCTCTGGGGTATTTCATTTTAATAGCATTAAACACTCATTTATCAAAAAAAAATTTTTTTAAGCACAAACTTTGGGGCTGGCACTGTGTCCAAGCATGCATTTTTTTCCTTGCAAATTCTCCTAGCCCCTGGGGCTTCATCAGGCACCTTTGCTGTAAATTCTGAGAAAGCCAAGTGTCTTAAGAGCTGCCAACTGCACGTTCTACAAGGGTCAGTCATCAGGCAAGAGGGTCTCCCCACCTGCTCTGGGCAATGTTCTGCTAAAAATACTCATTGAAAGGTCCATTTTAAGTAATTACATCCCATAGGTATTTGCTATAGCTTGCTGTGGCAAATGGTCATGATAACAGAATGCAGGACACCCACCTGAAACATTCCACCTCAGCAAGGAAAACTCAGGGTTTAGAGCAGCAAATAGGTAAAATATTAATGCAACTTGGTACAAATACAGTTGAATTATTTCACTGAGCCTCTGTCTAATGAGGGGTAAATGTTTTTAAGAGCTGATAAATGTAAAGCGCTATGCTTTCATTCTGGGAAGAATAAACTTGTACTGTCCTGTTTCTCAGTGAATGCTTCCAGAATTTAAAAATTGGCAACAAGGCAAAACAGACACCTGGGATTGCTTGATAAATCTGTAAAATTTCCTTCTTAGAAAAATAGCAACCTGCCCGGAAGTCTTGGTGGACCCCAGGACAGCTTGTTAACAGCATGCAGCCCCCTATGTGTACTTCCCCTGCTGAAAGCTGCTTAAGTCAGACAGGGGTGAAATCAACACATATTGGTCTAATAAAAAAGATTGATTCACTCAGAATATTTCTCCCTAGATCCTTCCTAAAGAAAGTCTTTGCTGAAGATTTAAATTTTTTCTTCTGTAAGTCTTTAAATGAGACTGTGACTATTAGCAATCCTCCTGAGTTGTGGGCAGAGAACACTCAGAATAGTAGATAGCAGATGAAGATTGCTCACACCTATTTGTGTAGATGCTGCCTTCCATTTTTGCTGAGATCTTTTAAGTTCTATCACAGCCATGACAAAATGATGACTCAAGCTTAAATGCAGTCATCATAGTCATACAAGATGTTAATACCTTGGTGACTTGCTTTAACTACCATTCCTTGGCTCCTGAGAGCAGTCTACCACCATTTTCAGGGATCGCAAAAAGCAACGCCTGCAACAAGGCAATTCTCATTGTGCAGGAAGGCTGCCTGGGTCCTGCAAGCTGTTCTGATAAGCAGCTGTTGAAAGGGAGGGGGCGAGGAAAGGGGGGGAGGGGGAAGGGAGGCTCCCTTATCAAGTTGGATGGCCAGGCCAACCTTTATCTGTTGCACTGATGGCTTATCTCAAGAATGCTCCTGTCTTGCAAGTTTAAAAATCTTCCTGAAGGTTGAAAAATAGGAGTAGCATTCAAGTCCTGCCCTAACTCCCAGCCACCGTCCCCTCGCCTACTTCCAGCGCCCCAGAAGCCTGTAATTCAGCCCAGACAGGAGGACGGAACAGGTGCTACCGGAGTTCCAGGAGAGTTTCCGCAATCATCTGCAACTCTGCTGACCACCTCCCCCACAGAAAGGATCCCCTACCCTCAATAAAGAGAATGACTTTGTTTCAGTAAGTTTATTGTAAAATTCAAAGCTGCAGGAGTATAATCCTTTAGAAAATGAAGCATCGCCCGGATCCGTTTTGAAACAGCAATGCAGACTGCTAGGTCCATCAGAGCTCCAGTAATTGTACAAGTCCAGGCCGCCTGGCCTCGCCTTTCCTCTGCTTCCTGCCCACAGCGCAGGCTGCTGAGTCACGCCTGCCCAGCCTGTCTGTCCTTCCCGGCCCTGCGGCCAACGTCCTGCCTCCGGTCTTCCTGGGCGAGCAGCCGCTCACCACACTTGTAGAGTCCTCGACTTGGGGCCAGTCTGCCCCTGCCGCCGCCAGGCCTCCTCCTCGGAGGGACCCGCGCCTCCTCGCTGCTCTCCACGCGCCCCGCGCCTGCCAGTCTCCACGCCAAACTCTGGCGCCCTCCGAGGGCGCATCCACAGAGCCAGCCCCGCGCTAGGCGCCCCGGGGCGTCTCCACGTCGATCAGACCAAGGATCCCCACGAGGCTGTCACTCGGGGAGGGTGATACTGGGCACCCAGTCGTTGACACTGCGGCTCTCCTCGCAAAACAGGCTGAGCTTCTCCAAGGCGGGGTCCTTCCACGAGTCCTCATTGGGGTTCTGCGGGGAGAGCACAGAGGTCAGCCTGGCTGGCCGCTGGCCACCGGCTGGGACGGGGGCGACACCGGGAGGAGAACACTCACCGAAATGAGGATGCAGTGCAGGTCTCCCGGCGCACCCGCCTCGTCACCGGCGCCCACGATGGCCGCCAGCCGCTGCACGTCGCCCACACGCACGATGTCGATGTCATTCTCGCAGCAGAACGCCTGAATCAGCGTGAAGTGGATCTGCAGCGCGATGTCGCCCTCGTCCTCCTCATCGGCGGCCAGCACGCAAAAGGTCACGTTGTCTGGGTCACTGTGTGGGCGGGAAGAGGGTGGTGAGGTCAGGGCAGCGAGTTCCGGGTGCCCCTGCCATCATCACCTCCTCGGTCTCTCCGCCGCTCCCCCAGCCCCCAGTCGCCTCAACCCAGCCGCATTTATACTCACACGTTCAGGACTTTGGCGGACTCGTAGACGCCAGCAGTGAGGCAGCCCTGGCGCTGCGCCGACAGCAACAGCTCGTGCAGCGCTTTTCCAGCTCCCTGCATCCTGCGGACGAGCCAGCGCGGTGAGCGGGGACTAGTAGGAGCGCGGCAGGGTCCCCAATCGTGGGGACGCACCCCCTGGCGCCCCAGCACGCACCTGAGCGCCCCAGCCCCGCCGACATAACCCCGCCCGCAGCGGGCTCCCATCTGGCGGTCTCCAAATCCTCCCGCCTGACTAGCCGTGGCCAAGGCATGGCTAGGATCCCCGCGCCCGGAGACTTCCGGCATCCGGCGTCAACCCACCTGGCTGTGCTCTCAGGAACCGTGTCCTGGCAGCGGACTTCTTCCAGAGTCATGGTGCGGTCGGCGAAGAGCAAGTTATCCACAAGAAGGGCAGGCGGAGCAGACCCAGAGAGAAGGAGAAAGTATGCAGCAAATCCCGGCGCGCCCACCACCAGCGAGTGCGCCCCGGCGCCGCCACGCGCCCTTATATAGGCTGTGGCCCAGGCGCCGCCAGCTGGCGCAAAGCTGCGAGCCCATTGGCCAGCGCCGGCTTTCTGATGCAAATGAGGCGGCGGCCCGCGACTCGTGCCAGAAGGCCACGTGGGGAGGGCTGCGGGGGATGACAAAGCCTCAAATCTGCCGCTTTTGTCGGGGTGTAACTAGGCAGACTGGAGCCTGCAGATTTCATCTCGCTTTTTTTTTTTTGGTTGTTGTTTCAAGTCCTTAAAAGGAAAAAATTACTTTTTAAAAAGCCCCTCGCTTGCTAATAGGACGCTGCAATTTGTGAAATGTATCTTTGTAGAATCTAAAGAATTTATTTTGCATTTACTTTAGTTGGTATTTTCTATTTTTGTCTTGACTTTTAATTTAGAGTTTACAAGACTGTTGCTTTGAAACCGGAACTTTAAAAACACGCAACACTGACTTTAAGTTTGCAAAAGGCCTGGGCGCAGTCTCCTCCAGCTGACACTGACGCCCTCGAACACGCCGGGAAAGCCTTCTTGCATGCTCAAAGCCCCGAGCCGACAGCGCTGAAAGGTCCGAGCCAAGCTCCCCGCCCACGGTCTAGCGCTGCGGGGCGCCGGGCGCGCGAGCAGATTGTGGCCGGCGCACGCGGCTCGTTTGCATTTCTATGGAGGGCGCACAATAGCGGAGGTCTGGCGTGTGGCAGTTTGCAAGAGGGACAATCGAGGCTTTCTCTTCATAGCGACACTGTCCACCTGCCGCTGAGTGGGACGGGCAGGGCGGCGCCCCGCGTGGGGGTCGCCAGGCTGCCTGGCGCGTGGGGATCGGGGCCGCGTGCCACTTCTGCGCCTCACGGTGCGCGCCTCCTACACGCGCCCCGGTACACTCGCGGCGGGTTTGCGCGTAATTCCGCCTCACCAGGTCCTGGTAAGGATGCAGAGCAGCCGCGGAAATTGAAAAGGCTGTTGTACCGTCTACGCAGCCAGGCGCTCTTCTCTGGGATCCAGAAGCTCCAGTCTCCAGGATCTTGGGGAATGAAACTATGACTCCTTTTCCCGGGGCGCCACCTGCAGCCCTGGCAGAAAGATCCTGACCAACCCCCCTTTTCCCCCTCCCCATTTCTAGTGGCCTCTGGGGATTTGGCCTCCAGCCTTCTAGCCACGGGGCTGTCCTGGGAAGGTCGGCTGAGCCCCATCCAAGATACCCATTAATGAACGTCAGAGTAAGGACTGTAAAATACATATGGGAGGGGGGGAACGGGGGGAGGAAGGTAGGCACGAAATATGGAAGAAGAGCCCATATTTCTTAGGCTATTTTGAAATTGTTTAATTATTTAAATATGCATATCTAAAAAGCTTGTTTTCCAATAATAAAACTGGAAGAAACCTTGAGAGTTTAATAGACATTGCTGTGATATGACCAATTTGGACCTAAAAGCAGGTGGTTCTCCCACTTTGGGTGTCTGCATCTCTCTGCACTACGTCGAAGTTGCTGGGGTGCACTTGACACCCCCCTCCCCTTTTCTAGGCGAGGCCTTGAAGACTGGGCAGGATAGATGCGGGAGGGGAGATTCCTGGAAGCCCAGGCTTGCTGCAAGACCGAGATAATGGCGAAGAAAAATAACCGAGTGAGCTGGCGGCTGACGCCCCCCGGTGGCTAGCTAGCAGAGGATAGCTGCAAAATCAGGCCAACTCTTGAATTCCGAGAAGCGGGTGTTTATGATCACCTAAAATTCCTGAAAGCCGGTGTCTCATCATGGCGGGAGGCAGGCAGCATCATGCTGCGTTTGTTTGCTATAGTTTCCTTTCTTTCTTTCTTGTTGATATATAAAATGATGGTATGCCTTGATTGGATAAAACTGTTTATTTTAAAGTGATTGAGACTTAGTATTGTTCACTTTAAGGAATTAAACATTTCTTTCTAAAGCCCCAGGAAATGTTGCAAATAAAACTTATGATATCTTAGCAGCGTCCCCACCAGCACCTTTTATAACACTAAAAATCTGCCTGTACACCAGGCCTCAGCCCCTCCTCCCGGAGTAAGCCACTGGACAGGTCCGACTGGGAGCCAGGCAGTTTCCAGTGGGCACTGAGCCAGCCCTGAGGAAGAGGGTTGATTGACAACCCCCCAGGGCTGTTCTACTTTGCTCAGATTTTTAAAGTATTCCATTTCAGGAAAACTGCCTTTCTGACATAGGATATGACTTCACATGGGTTTATTAGGTCAGTCTGAATGGCCCACAGAACCCTTCACTCATCTCAATTAGGAAAGAAACATTTTATCCAGAGGCAAAGTTGACGCTCTACCAGACACTCCCCACTCGCCGCCCCCACCTTCCCGCAGTTTAGACAAATGCAAATGCACAAGCTGCTGGGTCTGGGACAGCCCATTTCCAGTCAGAGGGGAGTGAGTAAAGCTGCATCCCATTTGGGGTTACTTTCAGGTGCTATCCGGCCTGCCCTGTGATAGAAGACTCACTTCTCCGCTGTCAGGCCACTGTGCTTCCAAACTTCACTCAGCCAATGTCTAGCCTGCTGGAGCCCCAAGACCTGGGACGCTGTGATGTCACCCCAAGCTCCCTATGACTGCAGGCCTAAACCCTGCCCTAAATCTTAATAATGCAGGCAATGATGACTTTATTAAAGTCATCGTGCTCTGTTTTTCAAAGCCTTTGGAAATGTTTGTAGTTTAACTACTTTATTAACACATTCTTGGAAATCCACTTCTCGAATAATCTCATGGCCTGACTGAAATATTGGCAGAGAGTCTGTTGATTTGGGTATGGAAAGAAATGGACTTTAAAGTAGTCAACTTTATGAGACCGTCCTTGTTGCAATTTCCCAAATTATTTGCTTTTGGAGAGTGCATACACGGTCTTTAAATAGCACGTTCATTCAACTTATAACCACAGTCCCACTAGAGGCTACAGGGCACAGACAGGCCACTCAGAACTCCATGCTGCCTGCAGGCAGCATCCCTTTGGCCTATGGCATGTCTTAAGAAAAGTCCGAGTCATTGCCACCTTGCAAAACCAGCAGCTTTCACATAAAAATTTGAATTTCCAATTTCTCTTGGAAAATGAGATTTGACCACCATGTGCCTGCAGTCACCACCACCCCCTACACACCACAGTAACTATCTGCCAAAAGGGAGGCACTGGGACCCCAAACTGGGCACTGCTCTCCAGTCCCCACCACATCCTTTTGAGGACACTCCTGCTTCATTCGTTTGCACGATCTACTTGTCCTCAGTAGGGCTTTACATTTGCTATATTTGAAAAGAAACCGAAGTTTGAAAGCAAAATAAAGGAACCAGATGATCTGAAATAGGGCAAGCATTATTTGTGTCCTAGATTTTGCAGGAGGGGTCTCCCACATAGATACAGGACCCCAAGAACAGCCTGAGTTGGCCCCTTTCCAAATGGCTAGGGTGTTGCTCTCACTTCTTTGCCCCCACCCCCTTTGTCAGCCCCTCCTCAGGCAGGGCAGGCCAACTTCGGTTTCAAAAAGTGGGGTTTTTTTTTCCAAAAAACTCATGGATTGGAAGGTGGGCAGCAATGAAGAGTCAGTGACAATACTACATTAACCCTAAAAAGAAACCAAATCTTTGTTCAATACACACACTTAATACTTAAAATCCAGCAGCATCATCTCAAATGCATCCCAGTATTTAATAGGCACAGTACAGTGGCACCCCTCACCAACTGCCATGTACCCCACCCGTTGAAATGTGAGGTCTGTAGATGGGGAGGCTTTAGATGACAGTTGAGAAAGGAAACAGGACACTGAAAAAGGAAATCCCCACGTAGCACAAGCCAGACCTCTGTGGTCAGTCCCCAGGTGGAGAGGACTTTCTGGAAGGAACAGTTATGGTGTGAGCAATTGCGTAGCATGTGGCAGGGTCACATTAGCTCAGTAAAATCCCTGAAACTAATGGGCTGGGGGCAAATCGTTCATGCACTTGGTACATTCTCTGTCACAAGTAAGAAATAATTGTGACACATGTCACAACCATAGGCAGTAACACAGCAGTTCTCACTATGGTTGAAAACCCCTGAGAAGCCACAGATGTGCTGTTCTTCCCAGGTTGGCCATGTGCTTGTCTTCTGAGCCTTGGTTCCCCCATATGAAATGAATTTCATAGGGAGTTTGAAATTCCCTTTGCCCTTTATGAATTTCACAGGGAGTTTCTAAAGGTCACTCCTGTTCACCATTTGGCCCACATTCGGGTTTTGTTTGGTGAGTGGCGTTCAAACACGACTTACACATTCAGATCTGACTTGTTTGTGTGGTGGGAGTGGGTAGCATGCACTTCCCATGTCACCCTAGACATGTCCCAAATGTCACATTAGGCCTGCTGGCCCATTTAGCCTCTCCTGTCCCCTGCAGACATTTGAGTTTGGGATAAACTTCCTTTTCTAAGAGCATACTGTAAGCTGAGATATTGTGGTCACCTTTTTGAAAACATTAACATGTAGAATATAATAGATTAATAGAACTTTCTAACTGAAAGCTCTACTGTATGTTCTGAAAGACAATTTAAAGTAAGTATATAAATACGCAGAAAAGGCAATATGATAATGGACATTGCAGTTAGCAAAACAGGGCTCATAGATGGTTTTGCTGCTTACTTAACTCACCTTGAGCGAAAGTTAGTGCATGATTTAAAGTATAAGGTAAGAGACTATGCTTAATGCGTCGTCTAATTTTCTTAAGTTCACCTAAAGAAGTGCATTCAAAAGTGTATATTACAAGGAAATGTTTATTGCAATATTTCTTCTAATATTGAAAATCAGAAGCCATAACAGAGAATTAGTGGTAAATCACGGTGATGCCATAAATGAAACATTACGAGACCATGAAAAATGTTTTTGGTTTGTTTGTTTGTTTTTTTAAGACTATTTCATGGTACAGTAGAGCCTCAGATATAATGAGGAAAGACAAGGTACCAAATTGTGTGATTCTAGTTGTGCAGAAATATCTAGTGCACATGACTATCATTGTACCAAATATCAAAATAAGGATGATGATTACATCTTGAAGTGGTGAGATTTTAGATGATTTTTCATTTTCTTTACCACTCTTTTCTGCAATTAAAGATTCTGCAATTTGATTTTATATAATACAAATTCGAACTTTTCATGGACTATAACGTTAGCACCAGACCTCATCAACCTGACTCCCACCTCAGGCATTGTGCTAAGCAACTTTTAACCATATGGTGACGGATCAAGAAGCCAGACATCTGAGGAGCCTCCATATGACCTTTGACTCCTGGACTGCTCATCTTGCTTTGACACTGGTCTGTTCCCAGTTGAGTGAAAATGGTTATATTTCGCTCAGAGGTTAACTCCAGAATGACTGGGATGGACAATCTCAGGCGACACACTAGCGTCAGGAAGGAGGGGCCAGCAGACAGACACCTAGGGATGTGTCTTTCCATAGACGTGCAGTTCGCCAAGACGTACATTTTAGCAAGTAGAAACAGATAAAACTCTTTTA